AAATGGCTTGAAGGAGATGAGATGGAATAGGATCAAGCGGACAAGTAGTAGGATGATTGGAAAGGATGAGTTTAGAGACTTCTGTCTCAGAGAGTGGAGAGAAGGATGAAAACGAGTGTATGTTTGCTGGTAAGATGTGTTTGAGAGTTTGTGGTGTGGCAAACTGCACTGAGGTTGGTAATTTTATTAATGAAGAATGTGGCAAAGTCGACAGCTGTTAGAGTTGATGAAGGAGGGGGAGGAGGAGATTAGTAGACATAGGCAAAGTGCGCAGGTTGTTAGGATTGTGCTGCCTACAGTGTGTGATGCGTGGTTTAATAGTGGTAGTGATAGTAGGGATCTGGAAACACAAGAATTGGTTATAAAAAACTGAAAACAGAAGGGAAACAAGTAGTGAAAGAGAACGATTCAAAAGCAATACTTATGGTATACTTCATATTTGGTCTGACAACATAATATCATTTATAGCTGCCCCTTTACATGCATGTTAAAATATGTGAACCATATATTTGCCATAAATGATGACTTTGAAATAGACCATATTCATTTGGTGATTAAAAGTTGTTCCTGTTTGTGTCAGTTCTTTACACAAAGATCTTTGAGTAAATACTGTGTAATATAATGTAATTTCTGTCATTAATAAACATTAGCATTGGCATTATATTGGTCAAGGGGCAGAAGAGGTGGTATGAGCTGGCCTGGAAGACAAGGGGCAAACACCGTCTAAACAAGACGTAAGAGTGGAGCAGAAAGTATCACTAGCACTGTTAACATCAAGAGATAATAACTGTTCATGGGGAGGAAGCGTTGATGAAACCATAGCAGATAGCCGGGAGGGTGAGATGTCATTAATAAACATTAGCATTGGCATTATATTGGTCATTTTCCACCCTGCTGTCTAGATTTTGATATTTGATATTTGAATACTAAACTACATGAACTACATAAACTATACTGAACTACATTTCCCATGGTTCTTGCAACATGCTCGTCATCTTTAATGTTGCTTTCAGGTCATGTCGGGATGATCGTATACTACATGAATGGTATCACAGTGTCTTAATTACCAGAGGGAAAAATCTAAATTTTGAGGCATGTCACAATAAAACGTGCTGAAAATTTACTTTCTTTTCCATGTGGTTAGCGTACTGTTGATGGATAATACAAATAGAGCTTGTCAGAAAATGCTACACATTTAGCATTTTATGAAGTGATAAGCTTGTGCAACTACATTTCAGCATGAAAAAGATAAAATGCACAGATAAAGAACCAATTACAAACCAAATGTGCATCCAGCACTCTTCATTAGGTTGCACTAGGGCTGAAAACTTCCTGTCTTTTGTCAGTAAGTGAAAAAGAGATAAACAAATATGAAACCCTATCCTTTTTTCCCCAACCAAAATCATTTGAACTCGCATCACATAGTAAAGATAACTTTCAGCTGGTAAATAGGAATTTCCCAGAAGGACTTGAAGGCAGCATTATTCCTGTCTGGTGTCTTAATATTCACTAGAGCCTGTCTGGGTAACAATTAAATAACAGTGCTTGTGGGTGTTGTTGAAAGTGTTGTTGTTGTGTCTTTTTAATTAGTCCAGGTAGTGGATTAGACACTTTTACTGCTATTTAAGGATTTAGTTTACACATGAAAATGAAAAATTTAGAAAATTTGAACAGAAAAGCGTTTACTCACCATCATGTGATTTCAAATCCTTATAACCTCTAATTCTTATCACTTTCATTGAAAAAGGGCAGTGTGGACATTTATCTAAACATCTCCTTTTGTATTCCATGGATGAAAGAAAACAATTTCTCTTTCTTTTTTTCTTTTATTTTTGTTAAACTATGCTTATAAAGTATGTTACTGTTCAAAGGTTTGGGGTCAGTAAGATTTTTTAAAAAGACATTAATACTTTTATTCAGCATAGATGCAGTAAATTGATCAAAAGTGACAGTGAAGACTTTAGTCTATAATCTATTTATAAAAATCTATTTATAAATAAATCCTTTTGAATTTTCTGTTCATCCACGAGTTATGAAAAAATTATTTCCACAAAAATATTAAGTAGCAAAATCAACATGTTCAACACTGATAAGTTTCTTGAGCACCAAATCAGCATATTAGAATGATTTTTGAGGAATCATGTGACACTGAGAAGAGTGAGTAATGGCTGCTGAAAATTCAGCTTTGCATCACAGAATTAAATTACATTTTAAAATATATTCAAATAGACAACAGTTTTATAAATTGTAATAATATTTCACAATATTTCTGTTTTACTGTATTTTTAAAAATGTAATCTTCAAAAACATTAAAAAAAAAATCTTACTGGCCATAGACATTTGAACGGTACTGTATATTGTTTGACAACATAAGAGAGCTGTGTGTTGATGTATGTTTATACAAGGCTTTGTGTACACTAATGTGTGTGTACTGAGGGTGGGATCCAGAGAGATACCACACCTTTTGTAACCCTGTAAGTTTTTTATTAAAGCAGCTCAGCAGTATACACCTTGCTCAGGAGTGTATAATGAACACACTAACATTCAGACTCAAACACATACTAAAAACTATCTGACATTGATGGCAGAAAGGGGGAGAAGAGATTTTTTTTAATTAGTGCTGCTAGACATTGCTGGCTCATGCTGTGTCATTTTCCTAAGTGGAGATACTGAAGTTACACTTTCAATGATCACGGTGTGTGTGTGTGTGTGTCCCTTTAAACAGTTCTCGCATGAGAAATTTGAATTAGGCCTAATTTTGCTCCACGTCTTCCTGGTGAGTCAGACACTTAATGGAACAAGAACCTCTGTTACACACAAAGGCACAAACATACACACATGCAATTCAGCTTAAAGCAATTTTGTGCTGCGACATTACAAATAATTGTCACCTGTGTGTGACGCATAGACGTACGTGTGTGGTTGTGGCACCGATGGCATACACTTTTCTAAGTGTAAATGATGGTGTGAAAACAGCTTTTGAAGGTTCTGATTATGCAGGCTGACCCGTCAGACATGGTGTTTCAGATTCTGTCAGACAGACAGAATATAGGAAAGCGAGTCATGCCCACACACACTCACACACACACACACACACACACACATGTTGTGTTTCCATGTTTTATGGGGACATTCCATAGGCGTAATGTTTTTTATACTGTACAAACTGTATGTGCGATTGCCCTACACCAACCCTACCCCTAAACCTACCCCTTACAGGAAACTTTGTGCATTTTTACTTTCTCAAAAAAACTCATTCTGTATGATTTATAAGCTTGTTTCCTCATGGGGACCTCAAAAATGTCCCCACAAGGTCAAAATTTACTAGTATTACTATCCTTGTGGGGACATTTGGTCCCCATAACGTGATAAATACCGGGTACACACACACACACACACACACACACACACAGGAACACATATTTTCTGTCCGCCCCATTTGTCACTCACTATTGATTTCAAACAAACCTGGAACGAAGATGAGATGGCATACACACATGCAGTTACTGCTACATATTAACCCAGATAATGCACATACTAGACAGGGCTGGGTGTTGGATATGACCCATAAATCAGTACTTCAAACAGGAAAACTGGCTTCCAGCAAAGACAACTGAACATGACTGAAATAGTTATAGATCAGAGCTGGCACTTTCTAAAAATACAAATCGGTATCCCATGATGTTTTTTAAAGCAACAAGTTAGACTAACTGTTATATTTAACATAAAATAGGATGGAATCCTTTTAACCCAATCAACTCAATGGTTTTGATTGTCTTGACTGTATCCAACAATTTTAATCATATGGGAATATCAAAATAATGACATACATAAGCTAATTTTATGTAAATAATAAAATCTGTTAACAATAATATTCTAATAATAATAATATTCTAATAATGTAATATACATTATTAATAGTAGTAATGAATATCAGCTAAACGTATGTATGTCGTTATTGACATACAATAGTTAAAAGTTAAAATAAGTTAATAATTTAAAAAAGGTTTGTAAATATCATGTAAATAGAATAAAACATTTTAATAATTAACTTGTTTTAATTACCAAAAGCATACTTTTCCCATGCACAATTTTCAGGCAAACATTTTATAGGATGATGTTCCCCCTGGTGTAAAACCATAAAACTCATGTCAAGGACATTATTGGAACCGTTTTTACAGCATGGCAGGAAGATAAGTAAATATTATTATTCCATTTTCTTAATTTTTTACACGTATTATAGTGTTGAATGAATTTGCTGAATCATTCAATGCTTATTACTGAACTTATTATAAGAATACAATTCTTTAATTTACAGAATAGAATACCCATTCTGGTGTATTTTTATTTTTATTAGAACGTACAGCTTCATTATTTAATTGACTTCAAGCTCTATTACAGTATATACCCTATTTATGGAAAGTGTTAGCTATTAATGCAAAGGTTATAGGTTCAGTCCCAAGTATGCATGATGTACAGTGATCACTGTCCTGTTCTATTACTCTTGTGCTCTCGAGCGAGCCACTTCACCCCAGATTGCCGCTGGCAGACTGCCACTGCAATTAGTGTATTGTCACTTTAGATAAAAACCTAAATGGTGACTAGTAGCTGTAGCTGTAGCTGTATCGGTTTGGCTGGGGTTTCGTACTGACATCCGGACTGTCAGTCTATTTATAAAGCAGATAATAAAGATAATCATAATCCGTAATATAGTCTGTCATGCTGAACCACATAAAAAGTGCTTCATTTTGCCTCTGAATTATTCTTATATATTATTCAATTTAAATAATTGTAATTCCTTTATTTAGTTACTATTTTGTGTTTTAATGTTTAATTTAATGAGTCATGTTATACTTTTAAAAATATTTTTCCCCTCTGAGGTTATTTGTTAGTCAGAGGGTTTTTTTGCAGGAAAAGATTAATAATTGGTTTTTCATTATCATTTTCCACCCTCTCTCTCTGACTCTTAAAAGCAGACTGATAGAAATGCAGCTTGGTTTCAATAGAAGTTTTTTTTTTTCTTTTTTTTCCTACTGGGAGTGTCTTTTTATTTCTGAACATTGCTGTATGTTATATATATTATATTAAACACTTTTGACTTCAACTAGGTTATAAGGTGAATCATGATTCCCTAGTTATACAATAAGTATTAGACCTAAAATACCCTGATTGATAACTGATTGTTTTTATATGGATGTTATGCTTGCAGGCATTCAGCAGGTGAAAAGTTTAACAATGCACTGACCAACAGGATCACAAGACCTGCCACAATTGTCAAGAGATGAATGTTATCGTCTGAAGGACCAGGCAGATTACCTTTTTGGGATGTGTAGATGAACTAAAGCAATCCGTCATTCTGACTGAGGATTCCAGCTGCATTCATGAAGCATAATTGTTATTGGTTTGTGGCCAGTTTGATTGGCTAAGTTTTCCTGGAGCTCTGTGAGCAGTTCTTTAAATGGTCATGGCAAAAACAACCGAGTCGCTTAATTTGTCCTTCCTCCTGGAGCACGAAAGGCAGATGATCTTGGGTGTTCTCCAGAAAGACGAGAAACTCCGCAAAAGAGAGGAGAAACGCATCAGGTAGCGTCTTCTACACATCATTTCATCACAAGCAGACATTTTCTTTATATATATGTATGTGTATACACACACATTTTATATGTATACACATGCACACACACTTTTGCAAAAGTAGTTAGCGATTATGTAAACTTTTAAGAAAAGTAGCTAACTACATTGACAAATGTATAATTTAATTGCAGCCATAGTTTTCTAACACAAAAAATGTGGATTTATGAGTGTATGAAAAATCCCATTTAGGGTGCATTTAAATTTTTTATAAATTATAGTAAATACAACAAAAAAACCTGAATACTCAAATAACTAATTTATATAACTGATTTGATCACATAATGATGTGCTAAATATTCAGGTAAAAACACTTAAAATGTAGTGACTCGAATCTGTGAATCCTTTTTATAACCTGTAAAATTACACAGAAATTCCGAATGAACCAATTCACTGGAATGAATCGGCCTTTCCAGAACTACATACTATATGTCAGTGAATTTTATGTCAGTGAAAGCGACATAAAAATTGCCATGTGGCCTTGAAAATGTAGCTTCATTTTGGAATAGATGAACTGTGTTCAAAGCAGCGGACCTACTGTAGTTAATTTATAGGATCGTTACATTTCGTCACCTTGGAATTATAAGGTTCTATCTGCATTCTGAGCAGTTTTGTAGATATTGAGCTTCAAAGTTTTTGCATTCCATATAGTGATATGGGATATGGGCAACAAGTCTCTTTCATACATCAGTCCCAAAGTGAAGACAATGCACACAAAATGTACACAATAAAACAAAACAAAAAAAACATCACATAATGTAAATAAGTTGTCACAGAATAATAATATGTGAATAACTCAGTTTTGACAAAAACGGCAGACAGAACTTTATAATTCCAAGGTGACGATTTAGTTACTCCCCAACAGTGATGGCAGTTGTGCCTCTACAGGAAGTTGAAAAATGAACTTCTGGAACTGAAGCGAGCCGGGCGGCGTAGTTCAGCGGATCAACGCGAGTGTGCTATATGTCTGCGTGCTCTAGGTCTCATCCTGCAGAGGGGTAATGTGTGTACCAACTGTCATCGGCGCATCTGCAACTTCTGCACTGCTACGCCTCCAGGCAGCAACTGCAAATGCACCATGTGTGCGAAGACTGCGTGAGTCACACACAACATCCATACTGCGGTCTGCAATGGTGAATAGATATAAGACACCACAAAATTGAGTTTTTTTGGCTTTTGTCCATATTCTGCCCCAGCTTTTAGTTTCAATAGGAAATGTCAACAGGTCATAGGCTCTTTAATAGGTTGAACCAATTAGGCTGTGGTTGTCAATTCTATGATTGGTGCTTACACAGTGTTGTCTGCGTGTGACTGGCTGATTTAGGGAGCTGAAGGTGGTTACTGGAGAATGGTTTCTGGAAGAGAGATCCAAGAGGTTTCAACATGCCAGCATTACCAGCAGTGATGTAGTCAAACAGTCAATCCTCAGCAGTCCTCCAGGTGAGACCAAATCAGAGTTTGTGTCAACACAGACATCCATCAACCAGTGGCTGTAAATGTTGCCGTAAATACACACTGACAGCCCTGACATAATGGAAAATTTTCCTCTCCAGCCTTTTTTTTTTGATGATTTGAATTAGAATATATGTTTCAGTATATACAAAAAATATAGTGAATTCTGGCAACTGGAAATACTAGGACGAAACAGCAAAACAAAAAAACACAAATTTTCAATTTCAGACAAAATATTTTTGACAGAAAAAATCATTGAACAAAACAGTGACATTTAATTAACACATCTCCAATGATGTGATTTACTTACCCTCAGCCTATCCAACAGCTTTGCTTTGTCGAGTTTATTTCTCTATGAGAACAGATTTTGAGAAATTAAGCATTATATTTCGTTCTCACCAATGTATCCTCTGCAGTGAATGGGTGCGGTCAGAATGAGAGTCCAAACAGATGATAAAAACATCACAATAATCCACACGACTCGTCCATCAATTAATGTCTTGTGAAATGAAAGTGTTAAAGTGTTTCCATCATTAAGACATTTTTAAAACCATTGCTTCAGGCTAAAATATGAGTCCTCTATCCATAATATTGTTTTCTTCATTTTTTTTTCTCACATTTTCTGACATGGTCAAAAGACATGCGTTTTTTGCATACTTTTTTTTTTATTATGAATATCTGTTTTTGTTTATGGAGATGGAGGCTCTGCTCACAGATCATCAGAGATGGAGAGATCATCCACGCCACAGTCTGAGAGATCAGCTACACCCCAATCCCAGAAAAGCACAGGGAAGAACAGGAAAGGGTGAGGGGCATCATTTACAGTCCATTGAGCTATGCTATGCTTGGAATCACTTACTGCAATACAATTCCTTCAGTTAATAGTATTTGCGCTTTTTATGCTTTTTTCTGTATGCCTGGAACTGCTAAAATGTAACACTGTAAACACTGTAGCCTATCATAATGCAATGCACTCAACCATTTACAATGTGACAAATGAGCCAGGAGTAATATCAACCATGATTTTGAACATGCAGTACACCGAGTATGACAACAATGTAGCATCCCACTTTTTGAAATGAATCCTGTTGCATAGTGCATACTGTTTCACATATTAATTTGGAAAAATAGTAGGCAGTATAAACTTGAGTGCAGTAAGCTAGTATTGCATTCTGTGCCAGCATGTGTCTGTTCATTAAGACTCATTAAGTGTCTGTGTTTTAGGAAGAGAGCGGTTGCAGTGGAATCATCAGGGTTACCAACAGTACCCAATAACATGAGAGCACAAATGGTCAAAACACCGACCCAGACGGAGGCAAGAAACAGGGTAAAACATGATAGCATATTTACATTCTTGTATACTGATTTGCGTGCATGACCCGAAAGCGGTGTTTACTGTCCTTGTGCGTGAATGTGTTTATTCAGCCGGATGGGGCAGAAAGCGTGTCTAGTATACTAAGCAGTGACAGTGTTCTTGAAAAGATGGCGGATGGGCGGAGACAAACAGATTCTAGCACACCCTCTATCGCCATATCCAGAGCCTCCCTCTCATCAGGTATCACCATGGCAACAACTCTGCATATGTGACCCTGGACAACAAAACCAGTCATAAGGGTCAATTTTTTGAAATTGAGATTTATACATCATCTGAAAGCTGAATAAATAAGCTTTCCATTGATGTATGGTTTGTTAGGAAAGGACTTTGGCCGAGATACAACTATTTGAAAATCTGGAATTTGAGGGTGCAAAAAAATCTAAATACTGAGAAAATCGCCTTAAAATTGTCCAAATGAAGTTCTTAGCAATGCATATTACTAATCAAAAATTAAGTTTTGATATATTTACGGTAGGAAATTCACAAAATATCTTCATGGAACATGATCTTTACTTAATATCCTAATGATTTTTGGCATAAAAGAAAAATCGATAATTTTGACCCATACAATGTTTTTTTGGCTATTGCTAAAAATATACCCCAGCAACTTAAGACTGGTTTTGTGGTCCAGGGTCACATATACTATTACTGCTATTGACACCAGTAATGACATTTGCCCTCAAAACTGTCCATATCAGTTATATAATATTAAAAGGGTCTTTAAGATGCTTTTTTAAAGATCATTATTTGGTGTATTTGGTGTAACAGAATATGTTGACATGCTTTAATGTTCAAAAAACACATTCTTTTTCAAATACTGTACATTATTGTAGGTCCTCTATGCCCCACCTCTCTCAAACGCTTCGTTTTCTACAAAGTCCCTCCTTCCGACAAGCACAGTCTGCTCTGATTAGCCAGCTGACCCAGTGCATTGTGATTGGCCGAACACCAAAAGCACGCGTCGGAAATGTAACGCCTCTTTCCATAATCACGAGCTTCAGCTTCGTTTTAGGGGGGTGTGGCAGAGTCTTAACTTTGATAAAGAATATCTCTTTGGTTTTGAGACTTTAGTCTTTGCAACTTCAGGGATCTTATCTATGCACAATCAGCTTGTAACTCTCCAAAGAGAAAGGAAAACTTGAAATCGCATCATATGACCCCTTTAAGAACTTTTAAAAGTCTGAGACCACATTGAAAATGTGTATTTCAGAATTTAATTTAAACATGGTAATAAACAGTTTCATCATGTAAAATAGAAATATATGTAGACAAAATGTAAATGGAGTATTGTAATCTAAACAATAATCAATGTCTGTGAATTTGTAAACCTGTACTTACCTCAAAAACAGTATGTGTGCCCCTTGTTCTACTGTTTTTTTTAATATATATTCTCTTAAAAAATAATAAAAAAGAAAGTTAAAAAATAAATAAATATATGTAGAAATATTTCAAACTCTGCGCTATTGCTCTATTAAGATTTGACACTCTAGGTCACTAATAAAATAAGCATTTTTTTAAAACAGTATTTTTTACTCACAATTCCTACCAGATAAAATATTTTAGAGTTTGGACTAACTAGATAAATGTATACAATTTATAAATAAATCATTTATCAAATGTATGAAAATACCTGTGGAGTTATACGATTTTATTAATTTACATGACTTCTTCAGGTCTAGAAATAACACTTTTTTCACACTGATTAGGCTGCTTCATATATCCAAGTTTTTCAAGACAGTGATTACACTGTTCTTTCAAAGAAGAAAAAAGAGTTGAATTAAGAATTATACTTTTACTTATATTAGCTTGTTTTACGCTTGTTTTGTCTTATTTTAAGTAATGTTGAGGCCCCCCTTTGTGCACTGGATGCTCTTTGTATCTTTCTCAAATCATGCTGGAGAACATGATCATCAGGGTTTACATGAACATACCAAATACTTAGACATTCTGAAATTTGTTTCTGAAAATGTTTGAGTTAAACTTTCTGCTTAAATTATGTTATAATAATTGTTTTTTATGTTTTTTACTATTTCACAAGTGGTCTCAGACTTTGGACCTCACTGTATTTCTGTAGAAGTATTATAAAATATAAAATGGCCAGAACTTTGTTTAAAAACAGCTGCTTTCTCTCTTCACAGATCACAGTTGCTCTGAGGTGGACCTCAGTAATCCTGTTGAGGGGTTCAGTGAAGACCCTCTGATTAGTCGATGCCGCTCTGTTCCAGGCCTGAACGATGTGGTAGATCTCAGACACAGTCTCTTAAACCACTCCTCACTTGCAATCATTTTTTTTTCCTGTGTGCAGGATATGATTTCCAGGCAGGGAGTTAAAATGATAAGAGACAGCCTTCTGTAATGTGATATTTCTGATATGAGTGAAGTGATCGCATGAAGGAAACCAGTGCTGTTTTCAATGTAATATTGGCTGAAGGCAGTGTTTGTGCTCTAGGACTCAGATGAGGACATTGATGCGGCGTTATCAGCACACTATAAAACCAACCGGAGCGTCTGCAGTGCGCAATCAATGGTATAATGATTTACACAGAAACACACACACACACAAAACACCATAATCACAGCTTTGCTGCAATTTGTGTTTGCTGGCTTTGTGCAGATGTCTGACTGAAACAAAATATGTATTTGTTCCTCTTTCTGTGTTTTGCTTGTGCATCTCTATGTTTAGACTTTTATTTGTGTGCCTTATGGCAGGGGAGCCAGAAACCCAACTCTTTACCTCCTTTTTCTGATATTAATGTACACCATACGCTCTAAAACTTGTTCTAGCTTGTGCCTTATGGATATTAGCATTTCCTCCTTCTGGCAAAATATCCAGTTTCATGAGATCACTTAATTTGTTGACTCACCTGGCAGACCCGCGCATGCATTTTTTATCGCCCAATCTCATATACACACAATTTAGCATAGATAAAACACACAATAACTACTGAGTGCATCATTGTCATATTTCTCAGTTTTCCGGCCACACATACAGATGCAGATGGTGCATTAAGATTCAACAAAGAGAGATCATTCAGGCAAACAAGAAGACAAGTGGCCTCTTTCAAAAAAGCTGACATAACTCGTAGCTCACACACAGTCTCTAATAGCTAGATGAGTCAGATGCGGGATGGAGAGGGAACACAAGAGAAAAGCAAAAAACTAGCAACTACATTCATATTTTCACAGAATAAAAGTTCTGTCATTTTTTATTCACCCTCATGTCATTCCAAACCTGCTTGATGTTCTTTTGAAGAACACAAAAGATGTTTTGAAGAATGTTAATGCTGCTCTTTTACATACAGTGAAAGTGAATGGGGATAATGACAAAAAGAACCTTAAATGTACCATTAAAGTGACCCAAACAACTGTTGTGATGTATTCCAAATATATATTTCAATGAACAAACATAAATTATGCAATATTTATCACTTGTTGAAAAAAATTGCTTTGTGCCATAGCTCTCAAATCTTACAAGTCTTCATGTAAATTCAAATGTGCCTTGTCAAGATGTATTGTGCCAGAATTTACATCCATTGTATGGCTTCAAAAGACCTATGGACTACCTTTATGGTGCTTTTTGTCATTTTTGGAAACCATCAGCTCCAGTTCCCATTCAATTTTATTTTATGGAAAGGATTAGTGATTACAAAACACTGAAACAGAAATGAAAGCCTTCATTTAGCTGAAAAACAAAACTAAAGATAAACTACCTTTATGGAAGAAAATTACATAAGGATGAGTAAACATGACACAGTCATAATCAAATATGAAAAAGCTCCTTCTTGACTCCAGCAATCTGTCTTCTGTCATATTATCTATGTTTTTCTTATTCTACTTCTCTGCTCTCTGTTTTTTTTCCTGCTATCATTCTTCTCTTCTCTCTTTCTCTCTCTATCTTATTCTAGTCTTCCACACCTGCCTCGGAGAGAAAGTGGGGTTTCCTAAATGTACCTGACTCAGATGCTGACACTGTGAGTGTTCAGTGTGTGTTTGTGTGTGTGTCTGTCTGTTGCTCTGTTCGCTTCAGTTTCGCTCTCGTGTCTTTCTGTACCACTGAAGAGACATTCTTACACTCAAACACAAGCTTGTGAAAGATGCACACCCAAAGATTCTCCTTATATGTGCTCTCCAGACCAGCATCAACAGTATGATGAGCGTGTACAGTGAGACGGGGGACTATGGTAACGTGCGGGTTTCCGGGGAGATCCTGCTCAACATCTCTTACAGTTATAAAACAGGGGCACTCAACGTGCTCGTCCGTGAGTGCCGCTGCCTAGCAACCGGGGATGATAGGAGACAGCGCACAGATGCGTAAGGCCACATACTCACACACACACAAACACATACTATACACTTCACTTTGAGCCCTAGTAGAGCATCTCTGCACTGCATGTATTTGGGATGTTAATGTATTAACATTAGATTTATCTATATTAATTATTTTATTAGTTTATTTAAATTCTGTCATTATTTACTCACCAGCAGTATTATTTTAGTATTATTTATATACTATTATAGTATTTATTAATGTTTTGAATGAATATTTTTAGCTTTTATTTGTATAATTTCAGTTTTCATTTTAATTTTAAGTTTTAGTAATTTAGTTATGTGCTTTTGTCATTTTTATTAGTTTTTTTTTGTATTTAGTATTGTATTTGTATTGTATTTAGCTTGTATTTCTTTATTTTTCTTTTTTAGCTTTATATTTATTTTGGTTTTATTTATTTTTAGCAATTTTAGTACATCAACATAAAGGTATTTTATTTTAGTTATGCAGCATTTCCATTTTACAAGTTTTTCAATTCAATATTATTTTATTTCAATTAATGAGAGCAGATTTTAATAATTAATTTTCAGGATAATTATTGTTAATTTAATTACTTAAATTTCAATCTGTTCCTCATATAGCCATTCTATGGCTTTAGAAAATGTGTCTGGATGTAAGGACTACTTTATGCCATTTTTATGTTTATTTTTGGGTGAACTACTCCTTTAATGCTGTAATTTTCAAATTTTGAATTAGTGGAAATGTTCCACTAGTTGTTGTTATTAAAAGTTGTTACTAAAACACTAAAAGCCATGTTTTGCTGAAATATTATATATATTTTTCCAAATGTAGTATATTAAGATCTAATAAATGTCCTTGTTTAACTGATAAAAATATATGTACCAAAGATTTGATCAATGTCTTCCGGAAGCTTTCTTCTAACTTCAATTCTGTTAAAGTTGTGTTAAATAGTACAGAAATGTACCTCAGTCCAGTATCCAAATATATTCCTATCTAAATAATTTGCCAAACCAAACACTTTTTGTTTTCTTTCATTTAAAATTAAACAAATTATTTAAAGGAACACTCCACTATTTTTGAAAATAGGCTCATTTTCCATTTTACCATTTTCGAATCCATTCAGCAGATCTCCGGGTCTGGCGGTAGCACTTTTAGCTGTAGCTTAGCATAGATCATTGAATCTGATTAGATCGTTAGCATCTCGCTCAAAAATTACCAAAGAGTTTCTATATTTTTCCCATTTAAAACTTTACTTTTCTGTAGTTACATCGTGTACTAAGACCGACGGAAAATGAAAAGTTGCGATTTTCTAGGCCAATATGGCTAGGAACTATACTCTCATTTCGGCGTAATAATCAAGGAACTTTGCTGCCATACCATGGGTGCAGCAGGCGCAATGATATTACGCAGCGCCTGAAAATAGGCTAACTTCCATATCGGGAAAGTTCCATATTAAAAGCCATATCGGCCTAGAAAATCGCAACTTTTCATTTTCCGTCGGTCTTAGTACACAATGTAACTACAGAAGAGTAAAGTTTTAAATAGGAAAAATATAGAAACTCTTTGGTCATTTTTGAGCGAGATGCTAACGGTCTAATCAGATTCAATGATCTATGCTAAGCTACAGCTAAAAATGCTACCGCCAGACCCGGAGATCGGCTGAATGGATTCGAAAACGGTAAAACTCAACTGTTTAACTCTGGGGGAGTTGGAAAATGAGCCTATTTTCAAAAATAGTGGAGTGTTCCTTTAGCCCAATGACTATGAGATTAATCACAAATTATTGACATTGAATCTATTGACTGCTCTAGTTGAATTTAATCAGTTGTCTGAAGTTGTTTATTTGTTGCCTCTTATATCAATTTAATATCACTACCAAAGTGTCAGAGGCTGATATTGTGGTATTATGATTTTGGTATTATGTGTGTGTTTGCAGCTATGTTAAAACATATCTCCTGCCAGACAAGTCCCGTCAAAGCAAGATGAAAACCAGCATCAAAAGCAACACCACTAACCCAGTGTTCAATGAAAACCTGAGGGTAAGAGGACGTTCATGCCTGCCTCACAAGGTTTTGTACTGAGATTGATGAGAAAGGTGCAAATTAGATATTGATTTAAAGGCTCTTATCTGTCTCTGTTCCTCTGTATAGTACGTGGTCAGTCACTCTCAGCTGGAGACACGCACACTGCAGGTTTCTGTGTGGCATCATGATCGTTTTGGACACAACAGCTTCCTGGGGGAGGCCGAGCTGACCTTTGACTCCTGGGAGTTTGACATGCAAATAGAGGAGTGGTTCGCTCTGCAGCCCAGGGTGAGCTGAGCACACACACACACAAACAGAAACAGCGAGATAAAGAGGAGTGTGTTGACATGGATAAGAGTGATACTGAAATGTGTGTTTGTGTCAGAATGAGTCTTATGTGGACTCCGTGATTCACTACAAAGGGGAACTGACGGTGGTTTTGAAGTACATTCCTGCAGAGAGAAATCTCTCCCTGCCTCTGGACCAAGTTCAAGGTATGATTTAGAATTAGAAATTACATAATTTCTCCACGTTTTCATTGTTGGTAAAACTTATGACTTCTATGAAAGCACATTATTGAACATTAATATGGCAATCAGTTATTTATGGAGTGGTCTATAATTATTATGTTGCCTATCAATCATAAACAGCTTACAGTTAGGTTTGTAAACTATATTACATGGAAGAATAATTTATTTTGATTATTAATAGTAATATATTTAATTATTTATTTAAGATTTCTGTCATATTGTTTTTGCTACTTATAAAAAACTGTTTTAAACACTTTAAATATCATAAAAGTTGAATATTTATAAAGTAAACATGTATAAAAATATAAAAACAATAAAAAATAATGAAAAATCGAATAATGTAAATGCTAAATAAAAATGCGTAATGTAAATTTACAGATGTTTCATCTTTCCATGGTAGGTTAATTTTATTTTAGATAAGTTTATATATAATATCTAATAATTTTCACAGCAAAAAAAAAAACATGAGATTGGTTTAAAATCAATTTTTATTTTGAATTTTCTATTTGAGCTCCAAGAAGCTCTCTGTATATTATTAGTATTTAATCAAGCTCTCTTTTGTTTCTCAGTAAAAAAGGGATTTCTAAAAGGAAAGAAGAAGGCCATCACTCTCCCTAAAGGAGGAATGGTGGAGCTGCTGGTTAAAGAGGCAAAAAGCCTGACAGCCGTCAAAGGAGGGTCCTCTGACCCGTTTGTCAAAGGGTGAGTTGATTTCCAGTTTTTCCTCCATATACAGTGCATTTTGTAAACTCTCACTCCTCCTTTTCTTCTTGTGTATCAGATACCTGTTGCCTGATGACAAGAAAAGCACAAAGCACAAGACGGCCGTGGTGAAGCGCACTGTAAACCCACGCTGGAATCACACCTTCACATATTGCGGCCTGCAGCACAGCGATCTGGACAGCGTGTGTCTGGAGCTGACAGTGTGGGACAGAGAGCCGTTCGCCAGCAACGTCTTCCTGGGTGGTGTGCGGCTCGGGGCAGGAACAGGTCAGTCTTTCTTTAGCTCAGCCCTTTTCACTACAGTCTTTAAGTTTGTATCAGGTCAATAATTAGAGAGTATGTATTTCAAGCTTTGTAAACATGATGAATTGAGCATTTTCTGCAAACAAAAATGGGTATATGAACCGACAGAAATCAATATTGAATTGCTATATTATAGATATATAATATGATAATTGCTATATTATGTTTCAGTTTTCAGTTTAATTTTAGTAATTTTATTTTATCCTTTTATTCATTTTTTATATTTCTACATTGCTTTATTTTTATTTTAGTTTTAGTAATTTTTCATTCAGCTTAATTTGTTTCTAATATTAAGATTTTATTTAATCTCAGGTTTGTTTCAATTACCAAAAACAATTTTTTATATTTTGGGGCCAGATTTACTAACAGCTTGCGTCAGTGCAAACCCTCTGTCAGGAAAAAAAACTACTGTCAGGATTTTCTAAAGACACACAGTGAAACATTAGCGATGAAAAGGCGTGGATACAGTTATTTTTGCAACTGACCTTATTGCATATGCATTTTTAGGAGTTTCCCTTTCAGATGCAAATTTTAAGGGAGGAGAGTGTTTAAATTCAGTTACGCAAAATACTCAAGTTCTCAGGAATAACATAGTTAAACATCTTTTTTGTTTCATTTAGACCCATCTACTTCTTTACCATAGCTTCCTATCCCTGCTGGATTCTGATCATTACATATTTCAGATTATATTTCCCACATTAATAGGACAGATTTGTACAAAATGCTTTTACTGTGAAATGTTCTGACTCAAATTAAGATAATAATTTAGTCCCAAATGTTCTTGAATACAGTTTCCACTGTAATGTTCTTTCCAAACATATCCTTAATCAATCATCAATGATGCATGAAATGCTACTTTGTGCAACACATTTTGTATTCATGCTAAACTAATTTACTGTAACAAATATGTTTTATTCATATCTTCACTCGCTCATGATCAGATCATTTGTTTTCTTATTGATGATTATGTATTAAAGCGGCCAAATTCTACACTTTTGCTGTATTTATAATTAGCAATGTTACTCAAGGTTTCTTGCATAAAAATCAGTTTACAAGACAAATTTCCACCCTTTCTGGCCATTTTAATTAAACTGTCTGTTTTTGCAACAGTACCTTTAAATCTTCTATTAAAATGGCCCATGTTAGGATCTGTTAACCTTTTGTGAAATGATTAACAACACCCCCGCTAAACTGATTGCAAGTCACTGATATGTAAACATAGACAGTGATATGTTTATGTGCTGATAGTTTAGACATAATCATAAAATGTTCTGAATGAGCTGTATTTGCAGCTTAGCTTTCATAAATGGTCTTAGTGGACTGGGGAGGTGGTTTTGTGTTGCGAATGTGTATATAGTAAATTTACTTCTTTTTATTTTAAATATTTCTGTATAATGCTGTTCTTTTGAACTTTCTGTTCATCAGATAATCCTGAAAAATATATATCATGGCTTCCATTAAGATATTAAGCAGCACAACTGTTAGCAACATTGATAATATTTAAAAAATGTTTCAAATCAGCATATAAGAATGATTTCTGAAGGATCATGTGACACTGAAGACTGGAGTAAATGCTGCTGAAATATTAGCTTTGCCATCACAGGAATAAATTACATTTTAAAATATATTATATTTTAAATATATTTAAAATACATTTTAATACATACATATATTAAAATAGGCAACGTGCGGGTTTCCGGGGAGATCCTGCTCAACTTATTCATAAAATATTTCACAATAATTTGTTTTACTGTATTTTTAATAAAATAAATGCAGCCTTGGTGAGCATGAGAGACTTAAAAAAACATAACTGGTGTATTCATTCATTCATTCATTCATCAACCCATCCATCTCTGCATGTAATTTCCTAAAATGTTTTAGGAAGCCATTAGTTGTAAAAGCAATTATGTTTATGCATATTTTGCTTTTGAAAAGATATTTTGTTTTGTAAAAATGTTTCAAAATAGCTTAATGACAGTCCATTGTCGCAATTTTCATTTTAAATATTTCTCCATGATACACTAAATGGGCTCTTTGGTGTGAATTACAGCCAAACAAAAAAAAAAAAAACATTGTCATGCAAGCTAGCTAGGTAAAATAAGTATATTTAAAGCTGCAGTCCGTAAGTTTTGCCTCTTTGTCGCCATCTTTGTTTGAAAACCTGGAATTGCAGTTACTTGCGGAATTATCTAGTTTGCGTGGGTTGTGAGTCGGCACGGCTCCAGCGCTGATGAATCTAAGGTTCTGAAGAGTATGTGTGGCAGTCAGTCACCGCACTGGTGTGAATCCTATATTTAGTAATCACAGATTCTAGCCTACGTCTTGGAATATATGACCCAAATAAGAATTTTCACCGGATATTGTCATAAGTAACAAGTCTTATAAACAAAAATTATTATTATTGTTATACTTTATTCTCAGATTATTAATGTTAACAACATCAGCATTGCGTGACTATAAGTATAGTGTGTGTGTAGATTTCCATTTCTGTACAGTCTAATCTCTAATTGTCATACCATTCCAATTTCATATTAAGAAATTCTTTTAACTCAAAAAGCAAATTATGCTCCCTTCGAACTGGTTGTCTTTAAAATACAAATCTTTGTAATCCCAGGCTATCTGTAATCA